AGTAACGTGTGTATGAAATAATACCATTTTGGGTTACATAAATAAATTAACAAAATAGACTTTTGTTAGGGTAGATTGTTTTTCTCGATAACTTAGTTACTCTAGACGTAACTTTACTCGTTAACAGCCAGACTTTAGGTCTATAGCCTATGTGATATTTCTGTCTGTCCCTGCACGATACCCCACAGAACTGAATGTAAATAATAGATTATTTACAATGTTTGATTCCTTAATAGTTTTCATAAGAGACGAACTGATTCAACATTATTTTGAGGGCGGGTATACCTATGATGAAATCTGCTGTATACTCCAAATTAGTTGCAGGTAGGCTCACAGAAGTCTTTTAAACAGTAATGTTACTTGTTAGCCCCATAAATAATGCTGATATGCTGGACAACCTGTTCTCATTGGTCTATCCACCATGGCATACACACCCACAAAAACCAACACGTCACAATTTCTGAAACTGAAACCAAGTGGTAATTGCCCCGTAACAATACATTTAACGAACAGTTTGTTATCTACAGCACTGTCTAGTATTTCTGTATTTCAAGGTGAAATTAAGAGGACAAAACGGAATATCTGTATCGGTTGGCAGATTTCTTTCTAGAATTTGATGAAAACAAGTCGGCACGTTTTTAAAGTATGCAAATTAGAATTAGACTGTGGATAAGTTGGCCTGAACATTTTTGCTGAAAATGTTTTTCCCCCACAAACACTTGGTTGAATTCTCAGAAAGGCGACATTTTCTTGTCAAGGGGCAGGGGTAGTCTAGCATTATTGGCATTAATTATGGGACTAGTACATGCTTTGCAGGTGGGATTTGTACTTGCCTTATTGGGAAAAGATCCTTAGAAGTGAATGGAATCATCACATTGTCATTTGTTAAACCCATTTGATGGGCGACGCACGACGGGCGACGCACGACGGAAAATGGCATGTTTGGAATTGGTAAATGGCAGAATTGGGACACAAAAAAAAGCAAAATGCGACGGACGACGGCAGATATGGAATTCCATACTCAGCCATTGCGGAAGGTCAATTATCAACCAGGCGCCCTCAGTGTCGTAGGCAGGCTTTTTGATGTGACGGCAGGCCCGCGCCTAGGAAGCCTTAACCGCATGCCCACATCTTTCACACACGAGTCTGGGATCAGTGGAGGTCAGTACAGGAGCATGGCGTCGCCGGCGACTCTCCTCAGCCACGGCGGCACAAACTGCTTTCGAGACTGCTGTACCTTTATGGACACTATGTTTTCAACGGGGTCCGTATTGCTGCAACACTGGGCCCCAAGGTGGCAGNGAACGCACCCATTAAGGGGCGAATCGTGTCAGTGAAGTGCACTCCCTATCAGTCACAAAAAAGTGGTTGCGCGCAACACAACACCCAATCACAGTTCGGATAGTATGAGGGGCGAATCGTGTCAGTGAAGCGCACTCCTTATTGGTCACAAAAAGTGGTTGCGCGCAACACAACACCCAATCAAGTGACGATGATTGGGTGTTGTGTTGGGCGCAACCACTTTTTGTGACTAATAGGGAGTGCGCTTCACTGCCATGAACCGCCTTTCAAACCCGTCGCGCGTCGCCCGTCGCGCGTCGCCAGTCGCGCATCGCCCGTGGGTTTTTTTATCAGGATTGCGCAGTGCTATTTTTAACTTTGACCCTTGATCGTTTCACATGTATATGTCCTTGTTCGATCGATCCACCATGCCTGACTCTCATTTTAGTAATAGAACTAGAAGATGTACATGTATTCGTTTTTGCAGTTGCGCCTAACTCCAATTGAAAGAAGAAATAACATCCTGACATCGGTTAAGTAACGTGTGTATGAAATAATACCATTTTTGGTTACATAAATAAATTAACAAAATAGACTTTTGTTAGGGTAGATTGTTTTTCTCGATAACTTAGTTACTAGACG